ATTACTAACTCTTTAAAAACGGAATATACAATTTTCATGTAAAGATAAAGTGATATTAGTTTAAATATCAAAGTTTAGGTGTTAAACATGTAAATACATAGATTGTGTGGCATGCATGCATATCTTCATTTTTTTTAATTATAAATGATAATCAATAGAATTGAAGATGAGGAATGTGTATAACAGAAAAGAGAAATGGGTGTAGGTTTTGATCTTAACTAACATTTAATTAATTTAATTATAATAAATTAATTATATTATTAAGATTAATGAGTCTAGAAGAAGAAGTAATATGGAAGTGAATGTGGACGTATAGATATTGTTAGGGTTGAGCTTGACCTTGCACATATAAAGAGTACTTTTTGGACATACGCTATTGAACCTGCCCAATTTATAGTACTCATATTTTAACTTTTGACATCTAAAAGTGGATGCATCCCATCATTTTAATGAATGCAAGAGAAGCTCCAAAAAAATGTACAAATTTTTGAAGGCAGGTTTAATTTGGCTCAAATTATTATATTTTCATATATTTGATTGTTGGATCCGAATTTTTCCTATGGATCACATCCAAAGAATATAGCGTAGAACAATAGAGGAAGAGAGAGAGAGAGAGAGAGAGAGAGAGAGAGAGAGAGTCAGAGAGGGATTGATTGATTGCTCATCACATTAAGACTTCTGGAGTCTATTTACCACTGATTCATTAACCTTTTTACTGCAGAAATAACCCCACATTTATAGGCAAAAAGGAAACACAAATGCTACAATTACTTGCTTGCCCCTATCTTAACTGTGCTGCATGATAATTTGGTAAGAGAAAATAAAGAGTTAAATACACGTGTAAGTGCCTAAATGTATGGATAAACGAATAAGCCTTCGACTCAACTCTTCCTGTCAATCGACCCCCTTTAGTTGGCAATCTTTGGATCAAAGAGAGGCTGCTCGATAGGTTTTGTTGTGTTTAAATGGCTTGTCGCCTGAAGCTACTTGTCGGTAGGCTGAGTCCTTGACCGATCGGCCTTCGTAGGCCGGCCGATCCACTTTTGTAGTGTGCTGATCTTCTTTAAATTTTACTCCCAGAGAACAGAACCGGCAGACGTTCCTTGCTCACGTGATACATGTTTTAATCATCGGTGTTCCTTCTTGACCACAATTCCTCTAACCCATCAGGTTTCATCAAAATTCACGTTGTCATGTATATATAGGGGGATAAACCCCATCATAAGTTTATCTGTATCTAACATGACCTCCCCATTCGTACCCAAAAATTTATCCAATTTATGAACTTAAATGAATCAATAATTTCTTATAATTTAGGCAGGATGCTTGTTGGACTGTCCATGAAGAATAGAATTCTAAATTCATTACTCAAAATATTTTATAACATTTATAATTAAAAAAAAAATTCCTTGATGTGATAGCTGCATCAACTTAATTAATATGACCTTAATGATTGCTAACACATTAATTAATTCAATTAATATACTGACAATTATTTTATTATTATTATTATTATTATTATTATTATTATTATTATTATTATTATTATTATTATTATTATTATTATTATTATTATTATTATTATTATTATTATTATTAGTAATAGTAGTAGGACCATTTACTTTCTTATATATTTACTTATCTACATGCACTCGAATTTTTAACACAACAATAAAAGAATCCCAATTATTAGTTTTATAAACATAAGAATTTTGTGGTCTGCATGTAAATATCTCTTATTATTATTATTATTATTATTATTTATATTTTGGCAATTAAGCAAAAAAAACCAACAAAATATTTTTTTACCGTACTACCCTCTTCTAAAAGCAATTCTAAGTTATTTTATATCTACAACCATTGTGAGGACGTGAGCCAGTCGTGTGCCTTCCTTGGTTTCATGGTCAATATTTCGGAACTGTCAATAACAAACAATTCCGTTGGTTTCTGTTAATTTTCAATACATTTAGTAATTTCAAATCTTCTTTCTAACGATGCTTTTGTTAGAAAATGGACCCGAATGACCAGACATCATGTAAAAGACAAATTTATCTTGTGTGTTTCTGTAAATGTGTCGGTAAAAAGTTAAAACCATTCAGCAGTTCCTATACGTACATCATGTAAAAGACAAATTTATCTTAGTCAGTTGAATTTTTGATTACTCAATTCTAATGTATTTTAGAAGCAATCAATTAATATTGTGATGTATTTCTCTCATTCATGTATCCAAATCTATACGTACATCAATAATGCATAAACATGAATCCCAAGGATATCCAACAATTTATAATGAAGTATGATAAGAAAGAGCCCACCGACATGAAATCAAGAGGCTCACTTATCCGATTGGATGCAACCCGACATAGAACGAAGGTAAGCACTCGAGAACTGAAAAAAATAACAAGAACAATCCGAGTCTGAACCGATCATATTAGAGCAAGACAGATAAGCACTCGAGAAACCACCACCAAAAAGTCGAACGAAGACATCAATTTTCCCTGGGTAAATCCAATCTAAAGAAAAAATTTAATTCCTCGACATCACCAATCATCGCACCGACACCACCAATGTTCTCCATCAGGGGGACCGAGAATTGGCAGCATGATAGGGCCTTTTAATCATCCCAAAAGACACCTCGACATGGAATAAGTTATCTCTCAAGTCACGGTAATCCATCCTTTATTTAATAAATGAGTCACCTTATCGACAAGAGCTCTTTATCTAAAAGTCAAAAGTTGATAGTCATAATAGATCAACAAATTGACAAAATCTAATCGACCGAGTAAGTTCTGCCAACCCGATACTAATCAAATACAATCGACCAACTCTGTCGAATAAGGCTTGAAAGAGCTAACAATATGCTAACCCAACCGACTGACATAAGACAACCGAGCAATAATCTCATTCATATAAAATATCTAGAATATCCTATAATAATCCCATTAAAGCAAATGTTGAAATATAATATCACATATTTTATCATTTTTCTATGAATAGAGAGATCATTTCATGGGAAAAAAATAACAGGTATAACATTTTACCATCTATTCACTTCTCTCTCACATTTCTTAAGCTATAACCCTTGGGGTGTGATCCCCACTTCCTCAGATCATTAGAAGAGTAACACGACTCTGACACTTAGCAGGGGATATAACACATGAAATTCGTCCAACTGGCTACATAGTCAAAAGCACTTAACAGAAATTTTTAGTGCACTAAACTAATTACAAATAAAGAAGCAAATTAATAAAATTAAACCCAAATAGAACTTAATTAAATAATCAAACTTAGCAAAAATTCAAGCCAATTCCACTAATTTAAATTATAAGAACCAAATTAATTCATCATTAGAGAAAATAATTGAGCTTCATTGATGCCCAGATTAAAAATTAGTGATTAACATATGCTTCGAACTTAAATCTCTAATTAAAGAGAATATTCTCTATCACTTACTCCATAGATTCTGCGCAGCAGCAGTAGTCCTTTCTGCAAACAAATAAAACAATAGTATAAACACAGTTCTGCCTCCAACTACAGTTTATACAATTACTACTCCCCAGTTGTTAGATTAAAATATATTTGCAATATGCCATACTATTGATAATTTCACTAAAAAAAATGTACAGGTCAATATATCAATAAAAGAACATTAAAGGTCTATTTGAGGAAGCTGCAACTTATTAGTTTTTTAGCAGCAACGTAGCTGCTTAGGAAGCTGCTACGGGGAAGTTGCTAAGGGAAAGCTGGATATCGGTTTGTTGCATCTGTCTAAAAACAATTATGAAACAACTATTTCTGAAAAAATAAACATTCTGTCTCTATATAGTATTGATGCATGTAACAAAATATAAAACAATTTTTTAATTAGACAATTTATTTATTAAGCAAAAAATTAACATGAATTAATAAATAATTAATTTTATTAATTAAGAAAACTTAAAAGCCTTTTTTATAAATAAATTAATTAATCATTAAATAGTAATATATAAATTTATCTAGTTATGATTAATTTGAAAATATATGAATTAATCATTAATTATTAATCAATTAAATTAATAAAATTAAAACTTAAATTAAGAAAGAAAATTAAAAACCATAAACCGCCCTCCCCTATCGGCTTCGCCCAAAACCATTGCCTTCATGAACGAACCAACGCGATTAGAGCAAGCTAGGAAGGCAACAATGGGACCGCCTGAACCCTCGCAATGTAGTCGCAATTAGAGCAAACTGGGAGGGTGGAGATGATCGTCGAAGATCAACGTGGGATCGCTTGAATCCTCATCTGCTGTGAAGCCTAGGTAGGACTCATAACGTTGGGAAGTTATGTGGGGATCCTTTCGTCGTTGCCAAGGGCAAGCGCGCAACTTGTAAGAGAAGAAAAGCGAGCCGCGAGATCGAACCCGTGGCCTGTGATTTGCTTCACTATGGCCGTGCCGCCACAAAAACTCCCCAAAAAGGGTGGATTCGATGAAGGGAGACGCGCCGCGGCAAAAACTCCACCCCAAATGGGCCCTAGATTTCTTCAAAGAATCAAAACGACCTGTTAATTGCACCTCTTAAGCTCATTCCTCCAATTGCTGGCCTAACAATTGATAGGAAAAACGAAAAGGCAGTGTTACATACATATATATTTACATATCTAACACTCAAACTTCAATTTTTAAATACATAACATCTTACTTATGCATGAAAAAGTGCAATCACTTTCTAAAAGTTAAAACGGTGTTATTTTTAATGATATGAAAGATTTGGGTGGCTTAAATTTAAAAAGAAAAACTGACATGTTAGGTATGTAAATTCTTAAGAATTGAGTGATATGTTAGACAAACTTCGATTTTTACATTAATACCATCCAAATCTTTCATATCACATCAAAAATACAACTATGTTAACTTTAAAAAGTCAAATACATGTATTTATGCATAGTTAAATGTGGCAAATAGGTAAAAATTAAAGTTTAGGTGATAGATATGTAAATTGCACAGGAATTGAGTGGTGTACATTTGTAAATCTTCCTTTCATTTGTGTCATTATAATTCTCCATAAGACCCAAAAACTTAATAATAATCTATTAATCACTAATATCATTTAACATAACTATCACGATTATTTAACTGCAAACACATTTTATTACAATTCCCTATCACAATTAGAGAGCTATATCTTTACAGAAGCCAAACTTAAAGAGCTTCTAGTGTGGGAATGATGATCAAGTATGGTAACTCCACATTTGTCTAAAAAAAATCCAAATTTCATCAGCCGTGTCTTCTGCATATGTATTGTAGATAAAAACTGCAAAACCAGATATCATGGAATAAAATGTAACTGGAGTTAAGGAGGGAGGTTGCACTATAAATCAAATTCAGTAAGCCTAAATCAAATTGGGGAATAGCAGAAATTAAAGATCATAAATAAAAACGGCATTTACATACACACCGCACAATTCTTATGTCAGGGGTGGAACAAGCTTCTTTTTTGAGAAATTGCCCCACCCCTAGAACCAACTTGGTGATAGAAATAATGAGAATAATTCTCAACTTTACGGGGGCTTAGGATCAATTAAAAACTAAATCACACCGTGAAATAACATAATCACACAAGATTTGAGAAAACTAAAACAAAATCTAAATTGAAGCACAATCAAAACAATTAGAAATGCATACAATAATTTAACATGAAAAAACTAGAGAATGAGAAAAAATCAAGGAGCCACAACACCAAAAATTTCCCCTATGAAATTCAGAAAGTTTTTACAGAAAACTCACACTTGTTTCCTCGCTACACAAGAAAACTTAGAGGACTCACTCTAAACCCTTCCTGCACCAATCCGACACGAAAAACACACACCGAGATCATAGAAATCGTCCTCTCTAACACTTCTCCCATCAACAGGAGCTTGTGGAAGAACACATACAAGAAGCACCGCACGCAGAGCATATTTTACGCCGCTAGAAATTGGTCTTAAAACCAAAAAGATTGTGCCAACTACTCTGGGCGCTAGTTTTAAGCGCCAAGCTCTCTGTCAACACTGAAACAAAGTGGACGCTTGGGCTCCCAAAGGGGGCGCAAAGGTGCCCCCCTCTCTGTCTGCGTTGTTGCGGCTTCTCTTCGGTAAGCCTGCAAACATTGGGCGCTTGAGCGCCCAAAGGGGCGCCAAAGCGCCCACCACAGTTTTCACCCATGTGTTAAGTCTTCTTGAGTGTGTGCTACTGCTTCAAATCAGGCTCCAAACCTAACAATCACTCACTTAGAGACTGATTGCACCCAACACCAGTCCTCCATACTTGCCCCTTCATCTGAATAGCCTACATAATCATGTACCGTGATACGACTCACCCACGATCTCAACATTCATAAAATCAAGCTGAAGTCAAGCAAAACTTAAGTTTCTTAATAGTCACCATCTTGGTCAACATATCTGCAAGATTCTGAGTGTGTAACTTCTCTAGGAACAACTGCCCATCTTCAAGAAGAGAATGAATAAAATCATACAACTATTGGATGTGTTTCGTCCTGACATGAAAAACAGTGTTCATTGCAAAATGAATCGTACTCATACTGTCACTTTTGAGTTTTCCAATCCCATGCTCATTGTCAATTCTGTAATGAAACTCTATAGCTAAATCATCTCCTTGCTAGTCTCAGTGATAGCATTATATTCAGTCTCCGTAGTTGAAAATGTAGTTATCTTCTGCAACTTGGAAACACAACTCACTGCTATGTTTCCCAAGATAAAGATATACCCCGTTGTACTTCTCCTACTGTCCACATTTCATGCCAGATTTGAATCTATAAATCCCTGTAGACCAATCCCTACACTTTCATAGCAAAGTGCTATGTTGATTGTTCCCCTCAAATACCCGAGAATCAACTTTACCGCCTCACAGCAATGTCTGCCTGAATTTTTCATGCACCCACTGATCACTTTCACTACATATATAATATATGGTCTGGTACAAATCATTGCACACATCACCCAACTGCTGAAGCATACAAAATTCTCTAAATGTGTGTGCTCTGCTCAGAGTTAAGTGATAGCTCCTTCGATGTTTTGATGTAACAACTTAAGAGAGTGTTAACTAATTTTGCCCCACTCATTTTGAAACTCTGTAGAATCTTCTCAACATATTGTATCTGAGACAACTTCAGTGTTCTTGCACTCTTGTGCCTACTGATTCTCATCCCGATGATCATCCTGATTGGACCTAAATCATTCATCTCGAACTCACTTGATAAGTATTTCTTTAAGTCCCCGACTTTTTTTCATATCTGCCCTGCAATCAGCATGTCATCCACAGACAAGAGAAACAAAACAACAATTACCGAAATATTTGATGAAGCAACAGTGGTTCGTCTAGCACTTCAAGACCCATTGCTGACATGAACCTATCAAACCTTCTGTATCACTAGCTTGGGGTTTGCTTCAAGTCATAAACACTTCTTCAATCTGCAGATCAAACCTCCTTTGTCAGAAACCTTTGAACCTTGTAACCTTGTGGTTGCACCATGTATAGCTCATCCAGATCTCCATGTAAGAAAATTATTTTTACATTCATTAGATCTTCTGCTATCAGAGTTGGCACAACCCTGATAGTCATCATTTTCATCACTTGAGAGAAAATGTCTGTAAAATCCACTCATCCCCTCTCCTAGAAACATTTCACAAGAAATCTTACACTGTAACGCTTGCTATCATTTAATTCCTCTTTCAGCTTGCAGATCGCTTGTTATGTAATGCTCTTTTGTCATTTGGTAGTACCGTCAAATACAAAGTTTGGTTTGAATTCAAAGATTACATTTTTTCATCTATGATAAACTCTCACTCCCTTGAATCTTCAACTTGAGGTGCCTCCCTTAAAGCACTCTAATTCACCACTATTATTTAGTAACAAATGGTGTAAATAAAGAGAATACTCGTGAATGGGTCGTATCACCCTGCTGGATCTTCTGACTTTTATAGCAGGTGATTGAGGACGCCCATGTTTCTGATGAATTTCTAATTCTGATAATCTCAGAACTAGTAACCCAAATTCATCTGAGTCAGCCAATGAAAGTGCATTTGACAAAGTTCAAGTCAAGTTTGCTCCTAGAGCCTGAATCAACATGCACATATGCGGAGCAACCAAATACTCTTAAATGAGATAGACATACATTTTTTTCACTCCAGGCTTCTTCAGGTAAGTTTTCCTCCAAAGGTAGTAATAGACTACGGTTTATCAAATAAACTATTGTATTTACTATTTCAGTCCAAAACTATTTAGGCAAACCTGCATGCAGTCTCATACTCCTAACACACTCTGTGATTGTTCTGTTGATGCACTCAGTCACACCATTCTGTAGCAATGTCCTTGAAACAAGAAACTCATGCCTAACCCCCTCTATAGCACAAAAATTCCTGAACTTTTGATAATTGCAGTCGCTCTCATTATCTGATCTGAGATCTTTTAACTTTGAATTTGTCTCATTTTCTACCATAGTCTACTTTTCAAGTACTTAAAATACATTAAATTTTTGTTTTAAGAAATAAACTCATACATTTCTTGTGTGATCATCAATGAATGTGACAAAATAATGAGAACCACCAATGGACTGAACAGGTGTACGACCTCATATGTCAGTATGCACTAACTCTATTTTCTTTGATTTCACCACAAGCATACTCTTAGAAAAAGAGACTTTCTTCTATTTTCCATAAATACAGTTTTCACAGAAATCTAAATCAACTGATTTCAAAACCTGAAGTTTATTTTTAAAAAGTAGAGAGTTCATACATTTCTCGCTCATATAGCCAAACCATAGATGCCACAGACCTGCATCCACCCTGGTTTCAGCCACATCAATTAAAACAACAATTTCATTGATCAGATAAATAGTGCATTCAATGTTGCCCCAAGCAATCACTAATGCCCCAGGTCACCTTCCACGAATCACCTGTGAAAGTAGTCACGAGTCCTAACTTTGACAGGTGACTCACGGAGATGAGATTTATCTTCAAACTAGAAATATGTCTAACATCAACAAGCTTGTTGTTCCATTCAGCAACCTGATATCAACATTAACATTTTCTACTATGTTGCAGGCTTTGTTGCCTCCCAAATAAACCTTCCCAAGATCATTCTGAGTGTATTCTTTAAATACCACTTTATTGGGGCAAGCATGAAAAGAGGCACATGAATCTATTATTCAAGACTCAGTGCTAATTTAAGAAAACGCCAGAGAGTCATTTTGGATTTCACTAGTGGAGACATTTGTAGAGAGACTATTTTCATGTCCTCCACCATCAGCTTTCCTTGAAGCTTTGCAATCCTTCTAGAAATGCTCATTCTTACCGCAGTTCCAACATTCACCTCTGTTATTTCCTTTGCCTAACCTAGACTTTCCTTTCCTGGGCTTGGATCTGACTCTACCTGTATTCATGTTCAGAATCATTTCTCTGTTATCAGCATTCAACGCAGAACCTAAAGATTTACCATTTGGTTCTTTTCTGCAAACTTTTTCATTCAACATCAGATCCACAATGGACTTCAAAGTCCCTCAAGAATTACTCATCGACATTACCAAATCATCCCAACTGTCTAACAATGAAGATGGTATCACGAGTGTTCTAACCTCATCATCAAATTTGATCTTCACAGAATACAATTGGCTCGTCACGGTGTTGAAGTTATTGGGATACACTATCACTGAATTATCTTTCCACCATATTCGTGTTGAATAACTTCTTTAACAGAAAAACTTTATTAGAAGAAGGTTTTTCATACATCTTTGTTAGTGTCGCCATGAGATCCATCGTGGCTTTCTTATTTATAATATTGAACACCATGGATGAGAAAAGTCACAACTGGATCACACTCAGTGTTGTTCGATCCAACACTTCTCATTCCTCCATAGGCATAGACTCAGGGTTCTTGTTAATTCTTTGCAGTGACAAATATAACTTTTTTCTGATACAACAAATCCTCCACCTGCATCTTCCAGAAAATAAAGATCGTTCCATTGAACTTCTCCACTTTAAATCTTGCTTCTTCGGTCATTGCTTTCACTCAAATCAAACCCGCTTTGATACCAGTTTGAGAGGAATAACGAAAAAAACTCCAAATTTTACTGAGGCTTATGATCTAATTAGAAACTAAACAACTCCACAGAATAACATGATCATATTAGATTCTAAAAATCAGAACAAAATATAAATGAAAGCACAATCAAAGGAACCATAAATGCACACGAGAATTTAATCTGGAAAAACCCGAGAAGAAAAACCCATGAAGTCGCACCACCAGAAAATTCCACTA